GACAACTCTGGGGTTGTGGCGCTCATCTCGCTTTACTGGCCGAGGGAGCCAGCATACAACTTCCAGGTCATGTGACCAGCATGGCTAAGCCGCTTCTGGCAAACCAGAGCAGCACACAGAAACACTGTTTACCTTCCCGCCAGAGCGGTACCTATTTATCTACTTACACTTTGATGTGCTTTCGAACTGCTAGGTGGGCAGGAGCAGGGACCGAGCAAAGGGAGCTCACCCGGTCGTGGGGATTCGAACCGCCGACCTTCTGATCGGCAAGTCCTAGGCTCTGTGGTTTAACCCACAGCGCCACCCGTGTCCCATGTGTCACATTTCCATACGCTGAATTGCAGATTTTTTAAAAAAAAATTGCCAGGAAAACAAATCACATTCAAATTTTATGATTTTTTCACACATTCCTCCCATAAAACAGACTTTTGTTTTCATACACTGCTAAGTGCATTCTCCCCTAAAATATACATGTCGTAAGTACTTCATGCTTTGAAATGCATATTTGGGGAAACTGACTGCATTCCAAAATCTCTGGAAAACCTGATTGATGGTCACATTTCATCCAAGTTCATGACTGACAACTTGGGCTTGTTGGCTGCAAAGAGCGGACCAAACAAATTTCTCCTACGTCCCAAGGGGGGTTGGGGGAGAAGTTGCTTTTCTCCTTAACTAGATGTAAGGCAGAGCAGACAAGGCAACGGCATTCCACTGGGGAAAACCACCCAAATAAACGGCTTTCTTTAACACACATTACCGCCCGGAAGACTCATTCCTCACATGCTGACAGGGCGCGGGATGGTGGAGCTGCAAGCAAAACATTAAAGGCCATTTGCTGCCCTCAATCTTGCAAGTCTTTTGGCACCAGGCATTTTCCCCCTTCTATCTCTGCTTCTAAGTAGGTCCCCTCCTTCTGTTGAAATGACATCATCTCTCCTTGATGGTGGGCTTTGCAGTGTAAAGGCAACCTCTTCCTGTCCTTGCTTGCACAGCTAGCTGTTTGCCTCCATCAGAGCAGTTTCCCATCCTTCTGCCTAGCAACTAGGGATGCAAGAAGGCGTCACTTTTTCATGAGACGTCGCTTCCATTCTTCTTCAGTTCGTCTTCTGCAAAAACAATAACAATAATGCTATTCAGCTCTCTGTCCACTGTGGCAAAATTAAGTTGCCATTACGCTATTCCACCCCATTTATTCCATTGCAAGGAAATGCAAATAGATTGGGGGGCATGTAGTCAATTACATATTGTTTGTGTACTGCCTATGTGAAATATACTCAGAGTCGAGAGTGGATTTCATGCTCTTTATTCAGCTCATAGTGGTGAGGAGGAATGAAAGTCCCCCCAAAGTATCTGCTTTATATACATTATTTACACAATGGGCCCCACGTGATTGGCTAATTCCGGAATTCTCCTGTAAGCCAATCAGGTTGTGGATTCACTTCCATCTGGAGCTGGATTGGGTGGCTCCTGTGGACCAATCATACTGCTGCATTGTTCTAGGACCAATCAGACTGCTGCATTCTGAATACTATTGTTCTAGGACCAATCAGACTGCTGCATTTTGGATCAGATTGTTCTAGGACCAATCAGACTGCTGCATTCTGAATCCTATTCAACCCAGTACATAACACTATGAGATCCCCTTACCCATATGCACCAACACTACCTTTCTGCATTTGTAAGAGCTCAATCTTTTAATGGGGCAGCACCTCACCTGTGGAACTCCTTGCCTATTGACACCAGGCACCTGCTTAAAACATTTGTGATTAGAAAAGTCTGGTCACATATTGAGAAAGTTGGTGAGAATTTCAATCTGTTTTTAGTCTATTGTTATTTTAGCTTTTTGCCTGTCTTACATTATTGTCGTTATTTCTTTTCTAGCTGATAATTTTATTGTTTTCTCTTTTTTGTATGAGGGTGGTTTTGTTCCGTTTCTTACAGTCAAATGGCATATAAATTTCAAAGAATCATAGAATTGTAGCATTGGAAGCTACCATGAAGTAATTGAATAAATAAAAGCAATGGTGACTACAGACTGTGTTCACTAGATTGACATCAATTCCAGGCATGGGACAAATAAGCAAATATGGGCGATTTCTGCTCCTGTTTCCATTTCCGCCAGAATTCTCTCACATTCCACCTAGCAATATTGAAAGCTCACAAATGGGCCCAAGTACATGCCTCAGTGTGTCCATCTTCACTATGACATTCCAGGAAATATAAGTCTATCGGTTACTAAAAATCGTGTCCTCCCTAAAATTATTGTATTTTAATATTCTGTTGGAAGCTGCCCAGAGTGGCTGGGAAACCCAGCCAGATGGGTGGGGCATAAATAATAAATTATTATTATTATTATTATTATTATTATTATTAAAAGAGGGCACATGTTGCGGTGAGACCTGGAGACTGATCTCCTGGTTGTGGGTCGGTATATTGGATAGCCACAACCCCTGATTGGTAGGTCCCTCATTGCTGGGTTTAATCTGGCCAATGGGGTGCAGTCTAAACGGATCAAGGGACCTATAGCTACATATGCACATGACTCAGAGCTTCGGCTCGTGCATTGGAACACCTGCCCACCTCTCCCTACTTTTAGGGCATTTTGTGATTGACCTTGCTATGCTGTCGTCTGTCGTTGGGACAGGGGCACAGCAGGAATTTTCCCCACTTGGCTGATTGGCTGTTGCCATTTGGGTTTTGCCTGCCACGTAGCAAATCACCACAACTTGTAAGGTAGCGGATAGGCTCTGGTTCAGGTGATAGGGATGGGAGAACGGTCTCATCATCCCTATGTGAAGGGAATCCATTAAAGGAATCCAGGGACTCAGCTTGGTTTGGTCAGTCCCCGAGAGGGGGTTATGCCCATGCCTGAGTCCAGGGGAGCATTTGGGGAGTGAACAGAATCTTTTCACTTACCTCAGGTGTTCACCCTTGGCTGATCTATGCTGGTGCCCTGGGTCAGCGCTACCTTGCAAGGGTGCAGGGAACTTGTCGAACCAAAGCCTATGCAACCACTATCTTTTCTGTAATCAATAAAGTTGTGGCCTAAATTCTGCCAAAAACCAAAACTAAAATTTGTGTCAAATGTGTGTTTCTTTAGGGGGGAGGTCTCTGGGTCTGAACACACAAATGGAACAATGCTGAAAGGCCATGCAACTCTCCTCTTGTGTATCGTGATTCAGACTGGTGAGCAAAGCACTGTTGGACTGTATAAATCTTTACAGGACCCCATCAATGTATTATACTCACAACTCAGTGGATGGAAACTTTTTTTTCCACCTGGGGGCCACTTTTCCTTCCGGATAGTCTTTCAAGGGCCACATGCAGGTGGCCAGAGGCAAACGTGTATATAGTAATGAATGTAAATATTACTGTTAAGTAGAAACTTATAAGGTAGAAGTGAGGACTGTGGGGGGTTTTTGACCGGGGGTGGGGCTTGCCTGTGACTGGCCTAAAAAGAATCTGAATATTGCCTGGCACCCCCTCAGGACATTTCAGGGGAAGGAGATCTGCAAACTGAAAAAATTCATGTTCCGAGTTCGTATCTCTGGGGAAGAGGGAAGGAGGGGAGACCATTAACTTTTCAGAAGACTTAGTATATGTTGTGTGCCCTAGCCCTAAAGGAGGCATTGTGCAGGACACAGTCTCACCTCACAATTTTGCAACCCATCCTCAACAAAGTGCTACTGAATGTATTGGGGGCGGAGAGGACTTTGAGTCCCTCCCTTTCCAAACTGTCCCCTTTCGTTGCAACCCCCTGGACCAGAGCACGCCAGGCACTCCTGTCTTCCACTGCCTCCCACAGTTTGGTCAAACTCATGTTAGTAGCTTCGAGAACACGATATATATAGAGATATATAGATATCTCCATATTGCCTTTCTCAGCAAAGCTCCCCCACTGCCTCCTCTTCCCACCCGCTCTCTCTTGCCCTCTTCCTGCCTCTGCCCAATCGCAATGTGAATCTGCAAAAAGTTTAGCGATAATTAGCAGTGACCTCTGGCAGTTCTGTTCGCTCTCTGAATCCCGCTTGTCAGCGCAGCCTGTCAGAGGGGCTGAGAAGAAATGAAGAATTTGAAGGCGAGGAGACACAAGCTTGCAGATTTGGGGGTGGCGGGGGGAGGCGAGGTGTCCCTACACTACAAACACATTGCTATTAAAGTGTCAGGGCATTTTTTGTTTGTTTTTGGTTTACTGTTGCAGTTTTATGGATCAGCAGATAACAGTAATTATCAAACAGGCTCTTCAGCTGAAGTTGAATATAACCTTTTATCATTTCGAACCATGGTTCTCTTCCTCCTCCTCCATTCCCCCCCCTCTCTCTCTCTTCAAAAAAGCTAATGCATTAAATTTTCTTTGCTTGCTTGTTTGTTTAGTTTAGTAGCAAAGAGGAAATTAGACATCCACATAGCAAGAAGGAAGCAAGGAGTACTTGACCGAGGTGAAGGGGACGCTGGTATGGATAATAATTATAAACAAAGTAGCAAATTGCTTTGTTAGGGTAAAGCCAAAGGTCCATCTATTCTTACACTAAAGGCCATTCAGTACGTTCCCTGGGGTGAAAAGGCTGGGTTGGCCTCAGAGCGGGCAAATCGAGGGGACCCGGTCAGGCACTTTTCATATACACATCTGAGTGGCAAGGAGGAATGAGGGGGAAATTGGGATTCGATTTGCATTTGATTTGTGGAAATGATCAGGGTGGCAGAGAGGATATATTGTTTATTAATATGCTTCCTAACTTGTGTTAGCAAGTTCCTTTACTTGCATTCCCCTTTACACGGCAGAAAAGTAGTTGTAAACTCGTGTGAGTTTCTTAAGACAATATGCAATTCAGTCCGGCTTGTCCAGATTGAAATGTGTTCTAATATTTTCCTGGTAAGACCCCTTGAATCCCTCCTAAAAGAATAGTCTTATTCATAAGCAATAAAAAGAAAATGGCAGGTAGCCATGTTGGTCTGACGCAGTGTATATATATATATATATATATATATATATATATATATATCCAGTAGCACCTTAGAGACCAACTAAGTTTGTTCTTGGTATAAACTTTCGTGTGCATGTACACTTCTTCAGATACCAAATTTAGTTGGTTTCTAAGGTGCTACTGGACAATTTTATTTTATTTTTGATATATTTCAATAAAAAGAAAGTTTACTCATGATCCAGCAGAGCACAGTGTGATCCCTGAAAGCAGGCTCTAGGCTTAAATTTTCAAACTTATACTAACAGGTTTATCCCATAAGGAAGATGACCTGGGGGACTGCTTGGCTAGCAGCCTGCAGTTCATTCCAGGAAGTTCGCAGGACGAAAAGAAGATGGAAAAGAGAGAGAATGGCAGTGTGCCTTGGGCTTTTACCAGGTCTGGAAAGGTCGCGCCCACCCACTTGTCACATGCAAGGAAGGATGCTCCAGGTCAGGAGGAACAAGTTTTGACTGGCTGGACCAAACATTCCCTTGCATGTACACTCTAGGAAAACAAGGAATATTTTACTTGATTGCTCTCAGTGGATTACATCCCACATTATTATCAGTAGTAGTAGTACTTCCTGCTTCTTGGGAAGCAATGACAAACCTAGACAGCATCTTAAAAAGCAGAGAAGTCATCTTGCCGACAAAGGTCCGTATTGTTAAAAGCTATGGTTTTCCCAGTAGCTATGTATGGAAGTGAGAGCAGGACCATAAAGAACCAGAAAGTCCAGATTGCTGGACCATCGCTGAAGAATTGATGCTTTTAAATTATGGTGCTGGGGTAGACTCTTGAGAGTCCCATGGACTGCAAGAAGATCAAACCTCTCCATTCTGAAGGAAATCAGCCCTGTGTGCTCACTGGAAGTACAGATCCTGAAGCTGAGGCTCCAATACTTTGTCCACCTCATAAGAAGAGAAGACTCCCTGGAAAAGACCCTGATGTTGGGAAAGATTGAGGGCACAAGAAGAAGGGGACGACAGAGGATGAGATGGTTGGACAGTGTTGTTGAAGCTACCAGCATGAGTTTGACCAAACTGTGGTAGGCAGTGGAAGACAGGAGTGCCTGGCATGCTCTGGTCCATGGGGTCACGAAGAGTCAGACACGAGTAAACGACTCAACAACAACAGTACTTCCCCATCTGACTAGGTTCCCTCAGCTACTCTGGGCAGTTTCCAACAAATATAAAAGCATAATAAAACATCAAGCATTAATAACTTCCCTCTATGGGCTACCAGCCATTGATAGCTTTGTCCTACATCTATCACTGATGCTGTCTGTGCAGATCCTGCGCTGAGGAAGGTGTCCCATTCCACAAACCTGTATTTATGATGATCAGAGCCAGCTCTGGCATTAGACAACCTGAGGCAGCCAAACCCCCAAGGCAGCAGCTTCCACGGGTGCCACACCTCTGGGACTGGCTGAAATGGCACAGAATTTTGTGAGTGCCCAAGATCTTGTGCAGTTTTTTGTGAGATCTCACCTGAAATTGAGGCAGGGGCAGGTGGGCTGGGAAGCAGTGCCAGCAGCAACAGGGATGGTGGTTACGGCAGAAGCGGCAGGGAAGGGGAAGGTGGCATGTCCTGTTTTGCCTCAAGTGGTAAAAAAGGGATGCGATGATAGGGATGTTTCTGCACATAACTGCTTCCTCCTTTCAACTGAAGCCCCCCTCTTAATTATTATCAAAACTCTTTGACTGCCTGTAAAAACCTTTTGAGATTTAGCACATTCACAAGCAACTCAGGCCCTCGCTTTTGTTTGTGAACCTGGTCTCCAGGCCGCCGCCTAGAATAAATCTCCCTCGCAGCTCACTCTGGGTCAGGAGGGAAGTTGGTTAGAGGAGACGCCAAAGCCAAACGAATTGTGTTATTAAGACATCTGTGGTGTCTAATAAAAAGCTACTGGGCAGGCGAGAGGTACAAATCATTATGAATCAATTTAGCCCCAGCCAACAAATACAGGGCATAATTCATGCTGGAGGATGAGTTAAACACCAGCCTTTTAAAAAATATAGTGTCACGTCAAGGCTGTCTCCTAAGCCAGCTTGCCTTTCTGGAATCGCAGTATTTCATTGCCCGGGACACTGGGATGTGCTTATGGCACAGAAGTGGCAGCCAGAGTTGGGTCTGCAGATTTTGGGTGTCCAGATTATGAATGGGAAAAGAAGGGGGTCTCGGAGGTGGCCCTGCCTGCAGGCAAAATTAAGGCATCTTCGGACAGCACAGCAGGAGCAGATGTAGATGCTTTGTAGATACTGACTCAAGCCATCTAGTTCAGAACTCTGTACATGGATAAGGTTTCAGACAGAGATTTTTCCTAGTCCTAACTGCAGATGTTGGGGATTGAACATGCCACCTCCTGCATGCAACAGATGCTGGACCACTGAGCTATGGCTAATCTCCAAAAACGCCTAGCAACACAGGGCACCTGTCAGTCCATTGGCCCATCTAGCTCAATAGATAATTAAAATTGGCAATAAGCTAAAACCAGATTTAAACATATGGCAGGTATTCTAGATACCTGGGTAGGCTTGTCTAAACAAGAGGAACCCACAGAGTACAGTGAATGTGCCTGCTGGAGGTCAATAGGCAGGGAGTTCCCAAGTGTGGATGCTGTCACAGTACTGTCTATGTATTGATTTCATATAACTGTGGAACGTGTACTTCGTGGCAGTACCAGTTCCATAGATCAACATGGTTAAGTGAGCATATATGGAATAAGGCAAATCCAACTTGTTATATACTGTTATAGATTTGGTAAAAGATAAAGGGACACCTGACCCTTAGGTCCAGTTGCAGACGACTCTGGGGTTGCGGCACTCATCTCGCTTTATTGGCCGAGGGAGTCGGCATACAGCTTCCGGGTCATGTGCCCAGCATGGCTAAGCTGCTTCTGGCAAACCAGAGCAGCGCACAGAAACACCGTTTATCTTCCTGCTGGAGTGGTACCTATTTATCTACTTGCACTTTGACATGCTTTCGAACTGCTATGTTGGCAGGAGCAGGGACCGAGCAACGGGAACTCATCCCGTCGCAGGGATTCAAACTGCTGACCCGCTGATCGGCAAGCCCTAGGTTCTGTGGTTTAACCCACATCACCACCTGCGTCCCTGGACCAACTGAGTAGATGGAGTCATTATAAGAGAGCTTTTTAAGGTTTATTTCAGCTTCTGCATTGTGTAACAGACCAGGATGTGCACAACATGACGATTTAGTGTTCATGCGCACACGCATGTGTAGGCGCATACATTGGAGTCATGTTTTATCTACATGCTGCCGCCACCATCAAAAATGTGAGATACCGTATACAGAACCCAGAGGCCCTACAGAGGGAACTGAACTCTGACAGGGCACCTCTAACCCAGGCAGAAATAGAGACAGGGTTAAGCTAGGGGTGGCGATTACTAGGGGCAGGTAGCAGCAGCGACAGCAACAAAACCAGGTGTGTGCTTTTTGTAACAACACTGATAGGAACACCTCAAACTTGGCCCAGTAGCAAATTGGCAACCAGGGCACGTTTCTGAGCACAGGTGCTACACACCGACAGGGCCTTATTCCTGTCAGCGACAGAGCCGCAGCCTTCATCCTCACCATCTTCATCCTCCTGTCTGAAGGTCACGATGCAGCCGAGGAGACGTGGGTCTCATCCGTGGCTATGAGAAAGTCTTTGAGCCCCTTAAGTTGGCCGCGTGCTCTACTTTGAGGGCTTAATTAAGGTTGAAGTGGTGCTAAGACCCTGGAAGAGGTCCAAAGCTAATCTGTTTACTCTCCAGAGATGGAAGTGTGTGTGTGTGTTTTGCCTCCGTTCTCAGCGCAAGGCAGCAGCTCTCTCTCTCTCCTCGCTGTTCGGAGGAAAGACCCAGGATGGAGCAGGCAAGGCTCAGAACCCAGAACCGCAGGTTGGTATGACTGTGGCGGAAGGAGGAAGCCGCAGCCTCCCTTAATCACCAGAGTGTATTCTTGACATTTGAGGTCTGCACACCGGGGCCTCTTACAACCAGCGGATGTAAAATTAGAGATCAGACTAAGCTGTGGCCGGCGTTAGCATAGAGCCATGAGAGATTTGGACAGTTCTAGTGAACTGCAAATGAGAAGGGGTGGGTTTCTTTCTTATTATTTCTCCCCTGGATTTATTTATTTAAACCTTGTTTCAGTCCCAGTGACCTATTGTTTGGAATTCTGGGCTCCCCGTGTTGTTGTTTTAAGGCCAAAATTAGCTCAGGCATGGGGAAAACTTGTTTCTCTCCAGGGATGAGGGATAAGTTTAACCCATGTCCAACACATGCATTTAAAGCACTCGTATACCAGTTTAACAGCCATGGCTTCCTTCAAAGAATCATGGGAATTGTAGTTAGTTAAGGATGCTGAGACCCCTTAACAGACCCCTATTGTCCTCACAGAACTACAATTCACAGTCTCCTAGGAAGAGGGGTTGATTTTTTAAAACTAAATCTGCAGTTTAACTTCATTGGGGTTGTATGCAGCTCAGAGAAGACTCACTGAAATCAATGGATCGAAATTAGTCATGGTCATTAATTCCAATAGGTCTACTCTGAGTAGGAGTGACGATACAACCCACAGTATCTGTGGGGTGAAAAAACCCTTCTGTAATTCTATTCTGGAAGCAACCATTTATCATAATGGGCAACGGCTTCCTGGGGAGTCGTACAGAGGACATATGGAATCATAAAATTGTAGTGTTGGAAGGGGTCCCAAGGGTCATCTAGTCCAACCCCCGATAATGCAGGATTCCTTCCCTCAGTGGGCTCAAGCCACCAACCTTCTGGTTAACAGCCAGACACAATAACCCATTGCACCACAGGAATCTTATGGTACCTATTGGGGCAGCCATTTCCCTCCCTGTATAATGCCCTTGTAAGGCTAACAGTGACTTTGTGGGTGGAAAAAAAAGTACATGGGAGCAAGCATCTTTTTCTCTGTACAATTCCCCACAAAGAGAGTGTGTATGGCAATATGCAGTCATTCCTTAGGAACATTTTAATTTGTTTCTCTCTCCACCCCCTTTGTGGACACAATGAAGTTACTAGCTGCTCCAAGCAACTGTAAAATGGTCAGTAATAATAATTTAAAAGGGGTAGTCCTCAGACCAGCTCTTAAATGCATCCGTTGTGTTGTCAGACATATTGAGCTTGCAGATTACAATGGACGAATTCCAATCTGTGCACACCCCTGGGGAAATGTGTTTGAAAACAAACATACCTCTTTTGCAGTTTCCGAAACAAGGTGCAATCCGAAACACAAGCGCCCTTTGAAATTCACTCCTCCCAATTTTGCAATGGGCCTCTCTGGTCAAAAAATGCACATACTAAAGTCTGCATTGTTGTTTAGTCATTTAGTCATGTCCGACTCTTCGTGACCCCCTGGACCAGAGCACGCCAGGCACTCCTGTCTTCCACTGCCTCCCGCAGTTTGGTCAAACTCATGTTAGTAGCCTCAAGAACACTGTCCCACCATCTCGTCCTCTGTCGTCCCCATCTCCTTGTGCCCTCCATCTTTCCCAACATCAGGGTCTTTTCCAGGGAGTCTTCTCTTCTCATGAGGTGGCCAAAGTCTTGGAGCCTCAGCTTCAGGATCTGTCCTTCCAGTGAGCACTCAGGTCTGATTTCCTTCAGAATGGATAGGTTTGATCTTCCTGCAGTCCATGGGACTCTCCAGAGTCTCCTCCAGCACCATAATTCAAAGGCATCAATTCTTTGGCGATCAGCCTTCTTTATGGTCCAGCTCTCACTTCCATACATCACTACTGGGAAAACCATAGCTTTAAGTCTGCATTAGGAATGCATATATTAGTGAAAATGACAGACTCACCTGTCTCTAGTCTTTGCTTCCAAATTTGAAGCAAACCAGAGTCCTGTGATATACCAAGACGTAAGACTTTCAGTGGTGTCCAAACTTTTTTCAAAGAGGGCCAGATCTGATGAAGTGAAGGGCTATGAGGGCCGACCAAAGGGCCAACCAAAGCACTCTTTGGTTGAACAGGCATGTCCAAACGGACTTTGGACATGCCTGATAAGTGGTTGAATAGGGGAAATGGGGTCTTTCAAATAATCTGGTTCCAAATTGTTCACCTTCTCTTTCTGTAAAAAAATACTTTTTGTACAGAATACTTGGTGGAGAACCAAATTGCAAAATTGGGAGTGAATATCAAAGCATGGCCGAGTGTGGATTTCTGTACTGCCAAACACAAACACACATGCATACACCCTCACACACAGCAAACCTTTAGGCTACATCAGTGCCGGATTTCCTTATAAGCTAAACAAGCTATAGCTTAGGGCCCCACTCTCTTGGGGTCCCCCCAAAAAAATTAAAGGTAAAAAAAACCCCTGTATGTATATTTCCAAAATATAAGATAAAAAACAAATAAAATAAAACCTACCTACAACAACAGTGTTTTGTGTTGTGTAGGCTCCTGCGGTGTAAGTCATGGGCCCCACCTGCTAGCCTGCTCCCTAAAATATCACTATTAATATACTTCTTCTTAATTGTATTTTAGTTCAACAATTACTTTGACAAAATACATATTTTGTTATGTGCAAATGGCTTTAGATACCTATTACCATAACTTAGCATATGGCATATATTCAACACAATTTACCCTAAATTACCATATAGCATATATTCAACACAAAAAAGTGACAATTTGTTGTTGACAAAGGACAGCTGGACATATAAATCTACCTTCAGTAGATTAGGGCCTCATCAAACCTAAATCCAGCCCTGGGCTACATACATTGTTCCCTGATGCGCTGAAGTATTGAAAGGAGGAGGGATGTAACGAAGTGGTCTCTTCTCCTTACATTTTGCTGCCCCCCCCCCCAGCCACTTTCAGGGTAGGGGTGGAAAGAGCAAGAGGGTGGGAGGGCTACTGTAAATGGCTTTGAGGGACCACAAGGTTCGGGGAGAAACGAACCAGAAATTCTTCTTTGGCTCAGATCTCAATGCATGCCAGAGAAGAAATCAGGGCTTTAAAGAGGCCTCTTCTGATTTTGAGGTCAGTACAAGTGATGTATGGAAGTGAGAGCTGGACTATAAAGAAAGCTGATCGCTGAAGAATTGAAGCTTTTGAATTATGGTGCTGGAGGAGACTCTTGAGAGTCCCATGGATTGCAAGAAGATCAAACCTATCCATTCTGAAGGAAATCAGCTCTGAGTGCTCACTGGAAGGACAGATCCTGAAGCTGAGGCTCCAATACTTTGGCCACCTCATGTGAAGAGAAGACTCCCTGGAAAAGACCCTGATGTTGGGAAAGATGGAGGGCACAAGGAGAAGGGGACGACAGAGGACGAGATGATTGGACAGTGTTCTTGAAGCAACCAGCATGAGTTTGACCAATCTGCGGGAGGCAGCGGAAGACAGGAGTGCTTGGCGTGCTCTGGTCCATGGGGTCACGAATAGTCGGACACGACTAAACAACAACACAAATCCTGACGATATGAGCTGTCAAGGCTCATTCACCTTAGCAAAGTTATATTGACCCGAACAAGGGGAGCATGTGTGTGGCATGGCAGCGATTCTGCTGCTGTGCCGACAGACTTGGGCCTCAGTTCTCCAAGTCTATCAGCCTGGTCCTTCCATAGGGACTGAATTCACTTAACAACAACAACAACAACAAAGGGCCGACTAATTCCTCTCCAATGCACATTTTGCAACAAGAGCAAAAGGCTTCCCCCCATCTCTCCACGCCCATTGATTAGCGGGGATTATCAAGCCATTCTGATTATCAGCATTGAGTTGCTTCAAGAACCATCAGAGGCGACGTTAAATTGATTAATCCAGTAAAGCTTCCCTTGTAATTACACACATCCCCTTTCAAATTACCCAACCACAAGTGTGCTGGATTTGACGGGAAGGGAAGGGAAGGGGTTAGAGCGCCACGTGTGTCTGCAGGAGCCTTCCCGTCCCTCGGAAATCAGAGTTCAGCAGGCAGAATCTCATTTGCACGGCCCTTTTGTAAGAGTCCCTCTCCCCAATGTTTCCTTGGAAATGTAAAGTCTGAATGTGACAATTGCATGGTTGCAAATATGTGCATTTATGCACCCATCTCAGAGTGGCTTATTTTGAAAAGTTTATAAAATCATGCATGGCAGAAAGTTGTCAGAGACAATATTTTCTCGTAGACATCCAATGAAACTGAATGTTCTCAGATTGCAGAAAGATTTTAAAACGGACTCCTTCACGCAGCACATAGTTAAACGATGAAACTTGCTCCCACAGAAGGCAATGATGGCTGCCAGCCTCGATGGCTTTAAAAGAAGATTGTACAGATTTATTAAGGAGGAAGCTATCATATGGTTACCAGATGTCCCCATTTCCCAGGGACAGTCCCCGGATTTACAAATCTGTCCCCGAACAAAATCCGTCCCCTGAATGTCCCCGGATTTATATTTTAAGTGTTGTAGATTTATTAGTAGGGAATGAATGTTGCGTGATTGGTTCAACTGCACAAGACACATCATATAGGGAGATCCGGTGAGGCAATAAAACTTCCCTGAACAGGGCTGCCTTCAGATATCTTCTAAATGTCAGGTAGTTGTTTATCTCTTTGACATCTGGTGGGAGGGCATTCCACAGGGCAGGTGCCACTACCAAGAAGTGCCTGGCTCCCTGTAGCTTTGCTTCTCACAGTGAGGGAACAGCCAGAAGGCCCTCGGTGCTGGACCTCAGCATCCGGGCAGAACGAAGGGGGTGGAGATGCTCCTTCAGGTATACTGGGCTGAGGCCATTTAGGTCTTTAAAGGTCAACACCATCACTTTGAATTGTGCTCGGAAACGTACTGGGAGCCAATGCAGTTCTTTCAAGCATGTGATGGCTGAGAGATAACTGTTGCTGGCTACCCTGATATCACTGACTGAATGTTTCATTTGTGTTTAGAAGGCTGCTCCTTTGAAATATTTTATATTATTGGTGGATTTGTCGCCTTGGGATCCGCTGGGAGGAAGGATGGGGTGTAAACAGAAATCATCATCCTTGGTCATAGACAACAGATCCACTGGTGAGAGGCAATGGGAGCTGCAACAGTCGGTGTGGGTGCTAGTCTGGCTATTCCAAGCCCCTTGCCCTGGTTGAGGAATGGAGACTTTGGTTTTCAGTTTTCTCTGTCCTAATCTGAAGGGTAGCAGAATTCTGGGCCAGATTTGGATAGAGTCTGGGTTGTTGCGGCAGATGGGGAGGCCTTGCCTACTTCAATCCTTTCCGAGGAGCCGGTGCGTAGAAGGTCCGGGCAATCTCTCTGCAGGCCTCCTGGTGAGCTTGGCTCACACATAAAGGCTGACAACAGAGTGTGGTGCTTATGATAGGAAATGAAAGGAAAGGAGAGCAAAGGAGCCAGCAGGAGGGACACTTCAGAACCGCTTTGAAAGGGGGGGGGAATAAAATAACCAACATCTGATGTTTGAAATATAGAAACAAGCCTTTCTGGCATCTGGAAAAAGAGGGCTTTATTGTCTTGATAACAGAGGATTTTATTTTTATTTTTATGTTTTGCTCCCTGAGTTTCTCAGGCTCGGCTCCACCCGCCGTATCAAACACGAAGTTAAGATTTCTTGAGGGCTTCTCTTTTGAAAAGAAGTGGACTCCCCCCAGTTAAACCTGTCTGTGCAAGAATAAAAGAAGAGTGTTGTTGAAAGCAATGAGGAAGGAAGAAAGAATTTGTTCATGTGGGACACATATCTCTGAAACTTAAGCAATTCTCAAGTTGTCGGACTCAATATGATCTTAGAACTTGCATGCATATGGAACTCTGAACTCTCTCTCTCTCTGAGTTACCATAATTCCCTTGTCTGTTAACAGAGGAAGGCTC